TTTTTCAGCTTCTATGAACACAAAACTTTAAACAGGTCAAGCATTGTTTTGTGTTTTGGTTTTTTTGTGGGTTTTTTTTCGTTTTACTTTGGTTTATTTCGGGTTTTACACAAAGAGGGTTAACTTAATTGACCCAACCCGAATCCAAATGCAAAACCAACACCCAACTGAAATGATGGAAAAACCGCTCCGACCTGACCCGAATTCGGTTTTGGGTCGGGTCAATTTTGGTTTCGGACCGGTTTGTACAACATTATTTTCAGACTTGCACAGGTGGTATGGTGATCCAAGCGTACACATAATTTGATGCAACTTTTGAGCAGAAAATTTACAATGTACATGTATGTGTGACTGGAATTACGACAAGTTATTGTTAAGTAGATATTTACAATGGAAGGGTTACATGGACACATGTAATTACCTTTGCTGGTTTTCTCATACAAAGATAATCACAGTATGCACTGTGTATGTAAACAGTATAATACTTACTCTTGATAAGTACAAACCAAAACCTCATTTCTGTTATCAAATTCTGTTGCTTAATTGTCATGAAGAGTTCTTTTTAACCCTAACTCCCTAGCATGATTTACATTGTACTAGGAACAATACCCATCCTGGCAAATTCCAGCACCGTGTTGGAAACTGCACACACATATTTCTGACTTTGTTCCTGGAGGTGTGCCAACCCAATGTAAAAGTCTGTCATTTTTAGGGGTACTGTACCCATCCTGACAGATTCCAACAAATGAATGGGGTTTGATGGGTTGAGTTCTGTTAGGGTTAATCTTTCATCCCATCAAATACCAGTACGCATACATCACTAAATTATTAGTTCTCACCGTTCCTTTCCAAAGCAAATTTCTTGTTTTAGTTTCTTCGCATCAAATTTACTTGGCACTCCCATTTGCGTGATCTAAATGTACATGTGTAAACAGGTTTTCAGACTGTCAGGTTACAGCTATAACAATCGTCGTCTCCATCAGTCAGTTTCCACTCGGTTCCCCTTGCATTGATGGCTTGCACTCATCAGTTACCAGAGAACATTGTTCTTGACACCTTTCAAACAATTGACTCTTGATGTACATACTGCTGCCCTTGTGCTGATGGCTCGATGCCAGTCAGCCCAGGACATTGTTCCTGAGTACTTGCAAGTGACTGCTGGCTCTCTGCTGGTTCTGGATGTACACACTGTTCCCCTTGCATGGATGGCTTGCAGTCAGTCAAACTAGAGCATTGTTCCTGATGAGAACTTGCAAGCGCTGGGGTCTCCGCTGGTTCTGCATGTACCTCAACATGCACTTGAACATGCTGCTGACTGTGCATACATGTAGATGCCTTGCTGCTGTTTTGCCTGGAACATTGTTCTTGACAGCTGTCCAGTGACTGCTGACTCTCTGTGTGTTGTACATGCCCTTGGCTTGGTGGCTTGCTGCTGCTTGGCCTGGCAGCACGGTGCTCTTGGTCATTTTCTGCCTGTGGAATCACACGAAGCTCAATCTGCTTCCCTGGCTGCGATGGTCGGCTGGGATTCCGTCTTTGGCAGCAACGACAGCACAGTTTCAGGAATGAGAAAGCCTCAACTACAGCTGTACGATAGTCAGCGTTTGTGGCACTGTAGACTAGGGAATTGATTGAGCTGTTGATGAGTTGCAAGATATTGGAACATGTACTCACAATATCACTTTTTTTCGCAAGTTCTACAAACGCAACAGCCTGGGCAGGCCATGAATAATCTATTAACTTGATTACTATACTTCCAGCTGCAATGGACAGCGAGTTCAGAATGAAGAAAACAGCAGTATTGGTTGTAACCATACAGAGGACCTTGCCTGCTGGCTTGGGACGGTTTGGCAACAGGGCGGATTGCTTGCGTACTTTCACTATTACATAGATGTACAAAGCAAGAGTGACTATTAAACAGACAATGCTGATAAGGAAATGAATCCAAAAGAGGATTTCAGTGAAGACTGTCTCTGGTAAGAATACTAGAATCACACCAACAATAATTGTAGGCACCCAGATTCCTGCTGATATCTTTGCTGCTCGAGATTTAGAGGCCTTTTCTTTAAATGTCAGAGGATTGCGCACTGCAGAGAATCTCTCAGCTGCTATGGTAACCACAAAGAAATTAGAAGCTGCTATGAACGTGTACCGCACACTTAGGATGGCTGTTTGGCCTAGTGTGTTGTATTCTGAAGGTGAAAACAGTGCAGCTATAAAGTCAGTCATAAGGTAGAATGAGTCAGCTACAGCCAGATTGAATAAGTAGATATTGATGATTGTACGCATGGACTTCACTCGAATGACTGTGAAGAGAAAGACAAAGTTCAAGAAGAGGCCTATTGGTGCAACTATTTCAATGCTGAGCTGCAGTATTTGACTAGTTTCTTCTAAACTGTCTTGATAGTCCCTCCAGACTCTGTCAGTCAATGAAGAGGAGCCGTTTTGGTAGCCATCACCCATAGTTCATATTCATTGTAGCATTGATTTCCATGTCTAACATTGTGCTCAGGTGCAACAAAGAGTGGTCTGCCCTATCACAAGATCACTCCAGTTTTATACTAACAGGGAATATAAGACATTGAGAAATCTGGAGTTGAAACTAAAAGTTTCTTCACGTTTCCTTCTAATTTGTCCTTTCCTTGTTTCTGTAAGATCAAGTGAAAAATTAACACGTTTCTTTACCCTGTCTGCTTCCTTTTCCCCACCCACCTCCTTTCTTCATTTTGGATTACATGTACAATATATTTTGTCTTGTTATACAGAGTGAGTCAAAAAACGTGGAAACCAAACCTATTTCGTCTAAAAAAAAACCCAATTTATTGTGTATTCTGAGTGTTTGCAACAACAAAGAAAATGATACAGTATACTTTAAATCTCAACAACTGTATTACACAATATCTTTATTAACAACCCTGGTTAGGCAAACAATATGATTTATGAAATCCCTTTTTTTTTTAAAGACGGGCCTTCAAAATGACTTTGTTGAATGTTTTTAACTTTTAAACTGAGGTTTTATCGCTGGTGATGTTTGAAGATAATTGTGATGAAGATTCTAGAAATCGCATTTTCGGACAAAACAGGTTTTGGGGTCATTGTGTTTAAATGGTGATATTCTTTGAACAGATTGAGCAATTTCAGTAATGTTTTCATCTAAAAGTAGCCTATGAAATTAGCTTTCCAGTCATTATTATTTTTGGTGCTACATATTTTTTAAATATCAAATATAACTTTTGGGGTTTGGGTTCCACACTTTTTTAACTCACCCTGTATGTGTCCAGCAAAATTGTAGCTATGTATTTGCAAGTTTAAAATCTTGTAGAAAGGGTGACAGCTCCTTTGGACACAGAAGTATGAGCAAAACAGTTGAGAAAATGGAGGAATCCATCCGCCATCTTGGAAAATCCGCCATCTTGAGTAAAAGAAAGGGCCGCCTCTTTTTTTTCTCTCAAAAATTCAGGACGAGAAACTTGTTTATTTGGCCTGAGCTACTAAAATGTAACTTTTGTTTCTGTTGTTTTCACAGCACTGTAATAAAATCATACAACAGAGTGAGAAATGTTTTCTTAAGGTTTTGATTTTAGTTTCATTTGTAAAATCTTTACTGTTTTAACAAGAAAATGAAAATGTAAACGAATATGAAAACAAGCAAGATCATTTCGGCGTTCTCCATATATATTCTCTTATCCTTCAGTGTCAGGTCAGCGTCCCTGTACAAAAACGCTGAGTAGTTTGAATTTTTGCAGCATATCTTACTGTTTCTGTATTGTAATGATGATCTTATTTGATGGAATAACCCTGCCAAAATGTTTGTTCTATTTTTAAAGACAGGTAAAAGAAATTGATGAGAAATATGAGACCCATTATGTAGCACCTTTATAAGGACATACAAGATGCTGCGGCGCATATTGCAGCCACTGCCAGAAACACCGGGGCAAACCCTATCTCTTAGCGATAAGTGTTACTGGGTTCTTTAACATGTTTTACACAACACACGGGACCTGTGGCTTTACGTCCCATCCAAAGGATGAAGCAATAATGGTAAAGTGCCTTGCTCAAGAGCACAAGGACCATGTTCCTCGTCAGGATTCGACAGTACCACAGTACACAAGTCAAACACCGTAACCATTGGACCACAGCCCCCCAATGAAAAGAAAAGAAAGAACATGAATAAACGTGACTTTTCATTGAAGCGATGAATATTCAAAACTTGAAATTTCTCATGTGTGTTATGATATCTTTGTACACAAGAAGGTCATTTTGTTTCGATGAGGTACGAAAATGTATGTTGATTTGTTCTAGAATAATGCTTGCAATTGTTAACTCTACAAACTTAGATTGCTGATGTTACAAAACCTGCCCACATTTTGTGAATTCACTTTTTAGTCGCAGTCTCATCTTGAGATGTTGGATCAGTGATTGACCAATGAGTATTTTTTTAACCGGAGGACGCGGACTCTATAACACCGCCATGTTGTGCTATAAGGGAGGCAATCATATCGAGTTGCAGGCAATTTGAGGATCTGGTGGCCGAACACTTTAAGTCGTGGATGGAGGTTGAAAAAGAGTGAAACATGTGGACGTCGGTAGATGAATTTAAAAAAAAAGAAATTTGGTTTGATGAATATGAGAGATTGATGTAGAAGGGAATCATAATCTGGTTTGTTGATATTTACTTGTTCTTCATGCATACCTCTATCCCTATATATTTACCTGTCCTTCTTTCCTTAACCCCAACATTATGAACTTCATTAGGAGCCTTCCGAGTCATTCCATGTGAAATAACCCAAAAAATATAATAAGAATAAAAGGTATTGCTATGGAACTCTGATCATACATTAAATGGATCATTTACATGACTGCACATTAGCTAAACAGCATCAACTCATAAGGTAAAATGCGGATAAGCCCATGTTCTGTTCATCAGACAGTAGACCTTTACTTAAGTTTTGTTGTTTCTGTCACACATTGACTCATCCACTGTTTTCTGTTCTGTGAAGGTTTGCTGAAACATGGCCGAGACTGGGCCTCCATTTCCAAATCCGTCGGTACCAAGACAGAAGCTCAGTGCAAGAACTTCTACTTCAACTACAAGAGGAAATTTAACCTGGAGCAAATCCTGGAGGAGCACAACAGGAAAGCTAAGGTATGCTGATGGTAGCAAGGCCTTGCAAACATACAACCTCCTAATGGAACTATGCAGGGTGGATAAAAAAAACCGAAACCGAAATATTATTGCTAATTGGAACAAAAGTAGGGCACATGTGAATCAAAGAGAGATATCCTCTGTTAGGGTCGAATCTCCTCTTTAAAATGACACCCTGGTCATGTCATTACATTCACGGTTGACTGAGCAGTGACCAATTTTATGAAAGGGTCTATTTAGAGGCTTGCGCCACTTTTCATAGTGAAATCTCTTTTTCCCCCCACCTGCCTTGATTGGCAACCATAGCCTTTCACTCTGTGACAATTGACACAACAAAAACCAAAAATTGAAAATTCTCTTGATAGACCCTTTCAAAAATTGGTCACTGCTCAGTCAACGGTGAATGTAATGACATGATCAGGGGTTATTTTAAAGAGGAGATTCAACCCTAACAAAAGATATCTCCCTTTGATTCACGTGTGCCCTACTTCTGTTCCAATTTATAATAATATCTAGGTTGCGGTTTTTTTATCCACCCTGTAATGTAGATAAACTGTTGTCGAAATGGCGGCGCTCTATGTGCCAAACGAACAAGTGTCACTTGTTGGTAAAGCTCCAAAACAGTTTCGGAGGTCACAGGTTCAAACCCCGCTTTAGTGCTCAACTTTTCAAAAAATGTTGCAGTTCACCTAGTCAGTTTTCCTTTGTGGTTCATTTGCGAATTTGTAATACAAAGCCGTATCCTCTCTGAGAGATCCCTGTTTGCTATTTTCCTGGTCTGCATCGTGACTTTGGACATGATCCCTGTCTACATGGCATACAGGTACACAGGTTTATGGCTTCTGACTAGTGCCCTTTGAACAAAGATATTGACGAATTGGGGAACCGCTTTCAGATTCACACCGTGCTCCAGTCAATTTCTTTGTTCAACTTTTAAGAAAAAACTTTTAAAATCCTCGAAAAAATCAATTGTGACTCGAAGCGAAAGTTTTCCAGCAATATATGGACGAACTGCAGATGTAGAAAAATGGGAAATTTCAGCAATGATGGGAACATTACATTCATTGTGCGTGTCGGCAAATTTGGAAAACATATGAACGCGACAACTCAGGAAGACCGTTTGCCTTTGTGGCAAGTCTTCACCAACGTTGGTGGCAAACAGTCGCTTCCACTTTTACAGATGTTGCCAACGTTATGGTAGCTTTGTACATTTTGTTTCTTTTCGGAAGCACTGCAGGTGTTAATCACACAATTGAAAGTTTAGGTTGTGTACGGTGAAGAATAGAATATAGGAGAAATTTGAAGATACACCATGTGAAGTGATTTCTCCGATCATAATATTGAGTTGAACATTATTTCATTTCGTTTCCTGGCGACAGTTGGAGCATACTATCAGAAACCTGGAGTTGTTAGTTCTGATACTTTTAAAAACCAACTCTCTTTTCTTAATTAGTCATTTAAAGGTTTAACCAAAAAAAGCAACAAAGGAGGCAATTTTAAATTGAAAGGGTGACTCAAAGTTATTTGTAGAACTTGAACATATTGCAGTGTGAAATCATACTCTTTATTCTTTAGGCGGAAAGGGAACACCGCATCTCCACCACAGAAAGCACCGTTTCTACGCTGACGGCCATGTCGGATGACGATGATGATTCCATGATGTTCAGCGACGAAGACAACGATGCTGACAATGACCTGGGGAGCTCAGACACTGACAGCGCCAGCGAGAACGAAGGAGATGGCTTGCCCAGAAAGCCTAAGAAAGGAGGCGGAGGAGAGGTGGATCTTGGAGCAGCTGAGCCGATGGAGGTGGGAGCTCCTAGTGGAGGGTCTGGGATGGCTCCGAGTAGCGCCGGTGGGGACAACAAGGGGAGTTTACCGGACACAGGGCATGACAAAAACCAGTCGGGAAACGACAAGGGTGGTGGTAGGGCAAGCGAACAACAAGAGGGGGCCAGACGCGAGGTTGCAAACCCCGAACAACAACCAAAACAGCAGCAGATGGTAGACGCTGACGCTGCTAAGAAGCCGACATCAGAATCGCAGCAACCTCCTGGTCCATCCTCTCAACCCGACAGGTCATCTCTGACATCAGAGATGCCGTCAACCCATGCCGAACTCCCCCCGGGACCGACCCTCACTTCGTCGCGCCCGCGTGATGATGACGACTCCAGCGCTACCTGCAGTGCAGACGAAGATGTGGAAGCCGTGGTTATCCAAGAACCGACCAACTCCTCAATGATGCCACTGACTCGCAGAGCCCTGGAGAGTCAAGGACAGGGAGGCGACAAAGTCTCCTCAAGCGACGAGAAGCGATACATCCGCTCACTCCACCAGCTTCCAACCAGCAGAGAGCGATTAGGAGAACTCTCCTCCTCATCGCAACCTCCATCCCAGCCGCCAGCTCAGGCCCTACCGGAACGTAGGCAATCTAGGGTGGAGGCCCCTGTGGATGCCACCAGCTCGGGGAAGCCTAACCAGACCCTGGCCGAGTATCTCGGAATGGAAGGCAAAGTCAATAACATCAAGGATTTGATTGACTCGGCCATTGACAGGCATCTTGGTAGGTGTTGACTTTATCTTCTCAATGAATTTCAAGTACCGGTATTCAAGTTTCTGGAAAAATTCTCACCATAATGTAGTTTATAAGAAATTTGGTAAATATACAAGACACATCACCTCATGATAACCCAACACACATTGAAGATGGGTCAGTTGACAAACCCTGGTAAGGAGGTTCCTCAATTGATTTCATGTAACACTATCTTTATACACAGGATTTTTTATAAGTTTCTTAATTTTTTTAAAGATAAAAATCTAAAAACCAGTTATAGACCATTCCGAGCACGCTAACAACTCTATCACGGAGGCCCCCTTCAATGGTGAAAGCATTGTGCTAGCTATTGTTCAGATCGTCCACAATTATGCAATTGCATGCATGATCATTTCTCCTTGAAAAGGGGGCTTGTGAGTGTACAGTGAATCATGTGCCCATATTTGTTTATATTAATATTACCTGTATTTGTACTTAAAGGGTCCATGAGATGAAGGTTTCTTGGAACACATGTTGTGCAACTTTCTACTCCTCTTAAATGTATGAGAACTAGTGGACATCCCTTTGTTGGTTAATTTTATTGAAAAGTGCACTTCTTTAAACATTTTGTAAAAAATCCCATGCTTTTCCAGACAGTTGAGGGTGCTGTTGCTGTGATGTCATTTCAGGAAGTAAGGGTTTTCTGTTCAAAAAATTCCAAAATTTTCTCACTGAAAACATTTGTGAGAAAGTTGGCTCACTGGATTACGCCATGTGCTGACACATCAACGAATTGGCAAAGAAAAGAACATTTATGACAGCAAAACATCCAAACTTTTGATGCTGAAATAGCTGCAACATTGAGATTTCTGCCTGAAATGGCATCAGACCTTTGATCATGAATATAAATATGGAAATTTGCATTCGCATTAAAACCAAAAAGGCACCAAAGTACCCTTAAAATGTCCAAATGATAATTGAAAATAAGGTTAAGTGGGACACAAAGGTGCATTTTTAAGGATTGCATTAAACAAAAATTACATTGCATGGGCCCTTTAAATTACACATGCCTGAAATGGCACTGTTTTCATGTGATGATTTCATGACTCAAATTTCTTGTGATCCACTTTTTGTCTCCTGGAAATTCCTCCACTGCTAGTTCTCCCGGCCAGCAGGACTCGGTGACAAGCAACCCTTCGAGTCTCTCCGATCCCCGTCGGAGTCCAGCATCTGCCAAGGACCCCAAAGATTCCCAAGAAGGCCGCCGCTCCTCAGAGAGCATGTACAGAGACATGCACTCGGGGCGCAGCTCCTCCTGGGCAGACTCCAGCGACAGCAAAGACCGTCGGCCGTCTGTGTCTAGAGCAGACCCTGGCATGGCGTACGTCTCGCCCCACATCTCCCACACATCTCAAGTCCATCAGAGAACCCAACAACAGCAACAGAAGCAGCTGCAGGATCGGGATGTCTATGAAGTGGGAAGCAGCCACCCGGATATACCCAGTATGAGGTACCCAAGCGGAGCCATCGGTCGGGCGTTGTACCCAGGCACCCGCTACCCACGAGACGCCCATGGAGAGATCTACCCAGACCGGGATCAACACCCTCATGTCTCCTCCCCTCCTGGTGTAGCCCCTGGAGCCCGGCCGGCCAGGTCTGGTTCCCCATTTGCCCTGGTACCCATGGACAGGGTTTCACAGTCGCAGCAGCAGCACCGGCCTATCCCGCATTCCAGATCCACGAACGTGCCACCACCCCCTCCGCTGATCAACAAGTTATCACCCAAGGCCATCAAGACTGAGAAGCCATCCCCGCTAGGCCAGCCCCACAGTGGATCTATCACACAGGGTACTCCTATTAACTTCTCCACAGCAGGCAACCCTCCCACAAGGTGCGTTTGAGAGTTGTAGTCAAGTCAAGAACAAATCCATCACAAGTCAAATCACAAGTCAATATCAAATATGGTCCCAAGTATGGGGGGGGAGGGGTTATCAAGGAATGCCTTTGACTCTTGGGGTGCTATGGTCCAAGTGTTACAATATTTGACTCATGTGTCGTGGTACGTGGGTTGGAACTGTGACAGGGAACATGGTGCTTGTGCCCTTGGGCAAGACACTTAACTGCAATTGCCTCTCTCCACTCAGAAGTACAAATGGGTACCTGTGAAGGTAGAGACCAGGATGCGCTGATCTCGAGCTGCTGCAGAAAATGGTCTCATTCCTGATGAACAGGGATAATAATTGTAACGCACTTTGAAACCTTAGGTATAGAGCACTATATAAGCACCCCATTGTTAATTGAAAAGCTGAAAGATTTTTTTTTATAATGAAGCTGAATACTGCTATTTATGCTTTACCCGGCAAACAGTAACCTATGCAGTCATTTTGCAATGCATATTTTTGGCTGAATCTCACATGGAATTCCCACTCTTTCTCCAGTCGATATGAGAGGCCCCCAGCGGGCTATGACGGCCTCCTTGTCAAGGGCCAGCCGTCAGCGACATCCCCACGGCAGGAGGGGGTAGCAGGTGGAGGGGGTTCCATTACCCAGGGCACACCCATCAACAGAGGGGGACGGGAGATGGCAGGGTCTATCATGAGGGGGACACCGATGCAATCCCAGTCCCATGAACCCTCCGGATCTAAAGGTATGCATCTGGTGCGAGAATGGGGTGACAAATAATTTTTAGTGTAAAGAATTGTTGGTTCTTAGATAATCTGTGTTTATGGTTTAGGGACGTTTTAGACAGTGCACAATGTGAACTGTCAAGAAATTGTTCTGACCCATTCATTTTTAACCTTAACGTAACAAATATATTCAAGATATTTGCACATGTCCTTTTTGTATCATTACTGCCTCAAAAGCTTCCCATCATTTTGATGTATCACAAAGCTTTCCCATAATTTTTTTTTTTGTGAATGTAGTGATAAAAGGTGATAATTGTGATAAAAGCTGCAGTTGAGGTAAAATTGATAGTACCATTGAGTTATCGCTCCATGACTGTACCATCGGTAAACTAAATGGTTGTAGGCAATTCAGTTTTTTTCCAACACAACAAAGCCGGAGAGCAAATGATATTAAATTTCCCCCTTAAATCTATATGTGGGTCACAGAAGGGTTTATTGGCATGACTAGGAGCCTCGAGGGCTTGTAGACTTATGAGCAGGAGATGACCATTTTGACATTGCCCATTTGACCCTTGTAGTCAGACCTGTACCTTTTGCCGAGGATAATGGCATTGTGGGGGAGTTTCTAGACAGTTGTGAAAAATGCCCAAGTGTGTATGGTTTGATGACTAGTAAAGTGCCAAAGTGTATGAATTGAAGAAAACGTGTACAAAACCTTTGGAGAAAAAAGCTCTTCTTTAATGTGACGTAACATAATGCCTGATTACATCATCACAATGAAAATGTTCAGCATACACCTTCAGGTGGTGGCCCTAGTGTGTGCCAAGTCTGAAGTCGATCGGATTTATGAAAGTGCCAAAGTGTATGGGTGGAAGGAGAGGAGTCTGAAGGAAGGGAGGGGGAAGGAAAAAAGAAAATGTTAACAAAAACAAGAGCTGTTTGGGTGTATGCACTCTGAAAGAGCGAATAATTTCCCAGGATATATTTTCCCTGACCCTTTCTGCCTTCTCTAGATTCCAGAGTTAACCATGAGAGTCAACGAACCACTCCCAGCGGTTACGAAGCGGGCACATCGAGAAGTACCCCGGTCTCCTATGAAGGGGACCGGCCACGGGTCACCCAGGCAACCTCCCGTCACGATCAACTCATGCATCGCAGTATATATGAAAACGCATTGGCTAGAGGGTCACCGGTGTATGTGGATACCAGTGGAACTGTACGAGGTATGCGTGACTGACACTTGTCACAAGTTATCATCTATTTTTGTTAAAGTTCAACAAAAAATTTGACTGGAGTGCGGTTTGAACGTGTTACACGTACCTCTGATTGCTGTGCGGTACTCTACCACCTGAGCTATCCAGCCCTATGTTGGTGGTTCCTCATTTTGTCAATGTCTTTGTTCAAGGGGCACTATTCAGAAGCCATTAACACATATATGCCATGTAGCCAGGGATCACGCCTGCAAACATGGGAAGTAACAAACAAGGATCTTTCAGAGAGGATGCAGCTTTTTTGTTACAGTTTACTGTCTACATGCAGATTTTTTAATAGTCGCATTAAATATCCAGATGAAGTTGTAGACAAGATTATCCACAGTGAGCCCATTGTATTAGACATTAGTCTCAGAATGGTTGACAACTTTCCCAGAATCTTTACACCGTTAGGTTATCATCACTGTTTACAAATTGATAACATCATTGTGGGAAGATTCAAGGGAAGTTGTTCAGAAATCTGGCTATTAACAGATCAATTTGTCTACACATATCCCAGATATTTATATCATTCCTCAAAACCCTCCTATGCAAACATGCATTTTCAATGCACGCACAATGAAAAACCTGTAACTTTGTTGAAATTGTTTTAAACAAGGCTCCATTTTTTTTAGGAGATAAAATGATTTCAGGGGAAGACATTTTTGCTATTTTGGGGGTTTCATATTATTTCAAGTGACATCATTTAACAATCACAACTTCACTGAGATATCCATTGTACAGATCAATAATGAGTGGGATTTAGAGAAATATGAAAGTTGAAAATTTGTAAATTAACTGAAACTCTTTTAACTGAAACTCTTGCAGCAACCAACCCATTTGAGCGTCCCATGCCCCACATGGATCCGTCAGCATTGTACCTGGCACACCAACAGCAACGGGATTACATGAATCTGATGGCCAGATCAAGTCAGCCAGACACAACGTCCTTCAACAGCTCCAAGGAAACACTAGCCGGTATGTCAGGAGAATACTCAACCACTCCATATTGGTCACACTAATTAACCCTTCTGGTCTTTTGCACTTCAAGTTTTGCTTGAACTCTTTTGCCCACGGAGTTAGTTTCGAGTTAGTAAGGGTGACGTCTAAACATGCTAATCCCTCGTGCCTTTGTACACACACAAAGTCCGTGAAGTCTGTGGAGGAGGACCGTGTGTTGATCATAAATTGTTGTACAATTTACGCTCAAGTGCACAACTCAGAGTACTGAAACATATGAGGTTTCGGCAAGAAATATCGTACAGATACTGTTGTAATGACTCTTGTGAATCAGTATTTTTGGCGTTTAGCTGTACGTCAGAAGTTGGCTGGAAAATTTTGCCTTTTGCAAAAATCGAAGTTTACGGCAAAAAATAATCCCGGCGCCAAGTGTTAGGCTCAGGGCAAGCAGGCAGATTCTGTCATGCTTCACTGCTCTTCACAGTGCAATGTTTTTGGCAGTGCTGTTTGACACTCACATCCATCCTGAAATGATAATGTCTATATTCCAATTTAGCATGCATATCTTTTACTATGCAGGTGATTTTGCAACAGCAAAACAGATGAGCATGCGGACCTCCACAATTGCAGGTACTTGCATACTTGAATTTGTATTTATAACGAAAAAGTAGTTCAGCATTTTGGGGGCAAAGGGACCAGTGCCTGGATTGATTGGTTGTTCAAAGGTTACGGGTTCCAATCCTGTTTGTAATACTCAAATTGAATTCATAGAACGCCTGTAAGCATGACCATAGCCAGCTCTTTAACCAAAACCTTCATGCACAGAAATCAATGAAGCAGATATGGTCTTTGATGAAAGCAACAAGTTATGACTATTTTAATTAAAAAAATCACAAAATTCAGCTGTCCTCTATTGAGCATTTACCATTCTACGAACTGATGAATACCCTTTAAATACAATGAAACGTGGACGTCTTCTGACCTCCATGAGTGAACGAAAACTTGCAAAGGAAAACAGACAAAAATGGCAATCAGTATTTCAGAAAAAAAAAGAGTTGTCTTGTTCCTTTTATTCAAAACACAAAATCTGACAGTAAAGAGTATGTTGCAGTCTCGACTCAAATGATTAAAATCTCATTTGTATTTGAATGCTTGTGTGTAATCTGTAATTCTCACTCAGCTCAATAGCTTCCAATGGCATTCCATGGACATTTATAAAAAAATAAGTTCTTTTAAAAAGTAAAACATGCATAACCTCTGAAAGCATGGATCAATTTCAGTAATCTTTTCTTGTGCAGATGAGTGGAAGAACATGCTCTTTTAAGACACACTTCAATGGTGCCCCAAATTTGATTGCTTTTTAAGTAAAAACAAACTTTGATCCAGGTCATTTTCTTTTTGACTCACCCTACACAGTGGACTAGATCTAGCCCATTGGTTATTAGCGTTGCAGGGTAATCCTATTTTACACTTCTAGAGTAAAATGAGACTAAGCAAGTCTCTTTCACAAGTTACAGTCAGTCAGTGCACAAAGGACTGTAGGCTTGCACCTTTTGGACCATCAAAAATTCTAATGAATGCAAAATGCTTTTTCTGTGTGTACTCTTGCTGTTGTCATTTTATACGTGTCTGTGTGTGTTTCAGTTCACTGTAAGTTCGGTCATCAATCTGAACCAAACTTAAAAGGCGGTCTGTGGAGAGAAGGCCGACGTCCAAAAAATCCTTTCCAATATAGATATTTACGAGGTCTCTGGAGATCTCAGCTCAGTATTACTAATGACTCTAACATGTGGGCCTTTCCACACTAAAGGGGTTCAATAGTGTGACGTGGGATTGGGAAATAAAGCAGGATAATAATATCAAGTTGTTTGTCCTATTTTCCACTTCTACATTCCCAGCCCATTGTTGAGGATTGTGCTTTTAAAGAATTTAAGACTTTCTTGACAAGATATTTATGCTCACAGTGCTACGTACGTAAAAAGGACAGAAAGTTTGCCAGGGGAATGGCGCAAGTTTTACTATGGGTAATCTTTCTGTGTGTAATCTTGTTGTCATTTTATACAATTTTTTAGGGGACTATGCAACAGCCAAACAGATGAGCCAACAGCAACAGCAACAGCAGCAACAACAACAACAGCAGCAGCAGCAGCAGCAGTTGCCGCATCAACTGGTAGGCCAGCCAATCACTCCACAGATGGCACAGCAGATCAGCCAATCAGTGGCCCAGCGTGGTAGCCAGTACCCACCAACCACCACCAAGGATTCCAGACTGTCTCCTAGACGAGAGTCGCCCATGTCTAAGAACTTTCCTCCAGGACAGCAACATGTCTTAGATCCACAGATCCAGCAACAGATGCTGCAACAATATGCACAGGTAGGCATCGGGGGAATCTTTTCCTAAAGACTTCAGTTCTAGAGCTGCGCTGAACCAAATTGTTCCAACGAGTTAGATTCATTACAGGAACAGTTCAACATTTGAAAAAGATAGAAACGACTGTATCCAAAGATCAACTTTCACTGTATTTTTGCAACAACTCTCAGAGTCTAGAATTCCTATTTGACATTGAAATCTGTTTGAATCAAGAAGAGTTACTCCTAATACATTTCGGTTCAGCAGGATTCTGGAATGCTGGTCTGAAACATTGGTAATTCTGCTTAATTCTAGGAACTTCCCAGATTTTTTTATAATCCTGCACTGTGCAGTAAACTGTTTGGCACATGTTCTATACATGCACGTCAACTTTCAAGTCTCGAAGACATTAATTAGTGGCAGGGCTATACCTCCGACATCCTACTGCGAAGTTCCTGACCGATTTGGAAGCATCTTGGATAGTGAGGGTTAACACATATTCTTTATTAAGTTTGGTAGATTAGTGGTGGAGATGTTTTTTTCTGCCACAATTGGGTTTCAGGTGCTTATATTCTTGTCAGACTGTGCTGACCAAAAATGCCAGCTACGTAAACCTTTGGTAGCAAACATCCTGTAGATGATAATTCTGCATTTGAGTGTTGTTTTTCTTTTTAAACACATACATGTAAATGTAATTCAGTCCACTTGACTTAATTTAGTTTTTAATATGAACTGGTTTGTGATTGATTTGAGATTTGGATTTCCTTTTCTGTCCCTACAGAGTGGACAGATTGTCTACCTGCCCTATTTCCCCCCGGGTCATTCCCACATACTAGCTCATCAGCACTACCCAGGGGGTATCCCCTCCCCCCACCACCCCCACCCCTCCATCAGTCCCCACACCACGCAGGCACACCCGTCATCCCAACACCCTGCCCACAGCGACCGACGCACAACCTCTCCAATGCAGCAGCAGCAGCAGCAGCAGCAGAGAGAAGTCACGTCACCGGCTGAACACTACGCCCAGCAGCAAGCCGTGAATTTATCCCACAGATGGCCTGCGCCTCCAAGTGTGGGTGCCGTGCGCTTCAAGCTCCCACCCAGGGGGTCCAGCCCGGGTGCCCATCCGGGCTCGGGGGTGCACCCTGTCACCCATCCGGGTTCCTTCCCATCAACGTGCTCCCATCCTGCCACCGCTGCTCATAGCATCACCACAGTCCACCCGGCCTACTCCGCCCATCTCCCCGGTGCCCATATGGTGGGTAGCAGCCACCCAGGAGCCCATCACATGAGAGGTACAATGGGCGGGAGCATCATGACGGGGACACCCATCAGGCCTCCACCCAGTATCACCTCGGGAACGCCCAATCCAGAGCTGAGGGAGGAAACGCCAAGAAGTCGAGCAGAAAGCACTTCAGGTATGTAGGCTTCTTAGTGCATTCGTGAATACAAATGCAAAGGAACCCAATATAGTATTTATCTTATTATTTACTTGTTTGGTTTAAAAGGGCACCAATACAATAATACAATAATTAAAAATGAATGAGTTACAATGGTTATCACGAAATATTCGGTGAAAAAACAAGAAATGCTATGAGTTTTTAAAAAATAATTTTCCAGACTTTTATAGCAGTTCGTTAATTTGATGAAATTTAAAGTAAACATAATTGAAATCATGGTGATTTCATTTTCATTTCATTTCATCAAAATTTATTTCCAATTCCATCAATCAATAGGAATACAATGTATATAAATAAATAGAAGAGGAGGATTTGGAGGCACAGCCAAAAACGCACAGCTTGTGTTAGGGAGTGCCCATACAATTACAAACACTGCAGTACAGACTAAATTGACAAAGCACAAGAAGTACATATTAAATACACAAAACGAATACACACACGATTCCAGTGGTTGATCCAGCTGTCAAAAAGAAAAGAAAATATTTAATAAGGATGGATATGATAGTAGAAATTAAAATTAAAAAAATCACTTTTGAAGAAGGTAAAACGTAAGATTACGTTGAAAACTGAATAAGCTGCGACTATTCCTGAGACTTGCAGACAAATCACAATCCATTCCGGTGAAGTGTCCCAGAGTGCCTTATACTGTGTTTAAAGGCAGATGTCCCGAACTTGGAGATGTAGGGAAGATGACCTAGTATTATAGCTGTGTATATTATGATTAGGTTGCACCTAGCCCAGGTTGGACGACGTCTTCATTGCATTACGACTGACGTCCAGGGTTAAGTTGTATCACCGTAGCGAAACAATTATAACACATTTTTTTCTTCATATTTTTACCTGATGGAGGAAGCTGAAATTTTGTTAACATATTTCTTGTGTCCAGAATTGTGCAAATTAAGCCGCAAATTTAGACAAAGATGGAAATTTTGATGAGAAACAGACGAGGTTGACGGAGCGAAATTAAAAGGTGTGTCACAGGTGATGCCCTCTGACATCCAAACAAAACATGTTTTTAATATCCTTGCTACATTGGGCACAGACCCTACTCAACTGGTTCATTTGTATAAATGATGCGTCTACTGTTCATGGTGCCATTTATCATATGCAGAGAGTTACGCTTTCCTTTATTAAACTTGACAGGATCTGGTGGTAGCAAGTCTCCTGGTGCAGCTAGTGGTTCGGAAGCTTTTCGCACACTTGTCCATGTAGCTGCCTCAGCTGAAACACTTGGAACAGCACAGGAAAAAGGTGACCCAACTATAGAATGTACACTTCCATGTAGCAAGGATATTAAAAACATGTCTTGTTTGGGCTTTTGAACCAGTGTATCAATTGAATTATATAAATTGAATGTTTGTCTTTGATTTCAGAAGCAAGAAGACAGCAACAAGCCATTCATGAGAGTAGAGAGCGTGATGCCAGCTCCTCTAGCGAATCCCACAGCTATCCACGACGACCATACTCAACTGGTTCCAGCCACTCGGGTCCAAGCCAAGAGCGGTGGATCTCTACGTCATCTGATAACCAGATGGCCCATCGGGAAGCTGCCCCGTCTGGAAGCAGTCGCTTGACGCCCAAGGGACGGGAATCAGAGAGTAAAGAGAGGAAGGAGGAGGTCAGACACAAGGAGCAACAGCAGAGAAACCACAATATGGAACGAGAAGCCTCAGCCATTTTTGCTGCTCTCTTTGAGAAGGACAAGCAGTCATCCCGGGTCTCAACTGAAGAGGACTCGGAGAGCTCCAGCCGCCCACTGACGGCGGCCAGTCTGATTGATGTGATCATCACACGCTCCATCAACCAACCCATGTTGGACAATCATGACCAAGGGACTGACTCGGACAGCGGTGATGGGTTGTCTGTTGGACCGAGCGTGGCTTCCTCCAAAGAGAAGTCCAGCAAGAATGTGTCCGACTCAGACTCGCTGCAGCCGGAGAATGGAGACAGTAATGCTGTACCCTCATCGTCAACAGAGCGTTCTCCAAGTTCAGGAAAGGATCCGAAGCAACAAGAGAAGGAGGCATCTGGAGAACAGCAGGAAAGGCCTCAGGAAAGCCTGGTCCCGGTGACTTCACCATCCCCACTACCCATTACCCTGGCTGAACATATAGACACTATCATCTCCATGGACTACAATAAATCTGACCAGGTGAGTCAGGCATCTACATCAGCAGCCACTTCTGCCACCGGAAGCTCATCCTTGAAGCGAGATCGTGTAAAGCCATCAGGTGTGGATACCACAGAAAGCCGGGAACAGGGACCATCCTCTAGCTCTCCTCGTGCTAGATACAGGACACCAGATAGTGAAGTCGGATCAACCAATGATGCAGCAAGGAGAAGCAGCCCAGTTGCCTCATCCCTGCAGAGTATCCATGGTGCTCGCAGCAGCAGCAGCAGTAGTGACTCCAGAATGAGGAATTCGGGATTGATGTCTTACGGTGGGCCTGCGGAACCGAGTGTCAATAGCTCCAAAGAAGGTAGTCCAAGAAGCAGGGCTGCCTCCACAGCTTCTGATATATCAAGTGCTTCTGCATCCCCAGCCAGTGCCAGACCGGACAGCTACTCAAACAGGGTTTCCTCCCAGTGGGGTTCACGTAAGGACCAAGAAGCGACATCTGCTGGTAGGGTCTCAAGGAGCTCATCGGAACAGAGTCGAGAGGCTTCACCAGTCAGTGTCAGTGATATGACTCCATCTGCTGTGTCTTGGCAGAGGAAGTATCAACAGGAAGGTAATGGAGCCGACAGCAGTGAGAATGCTACCAGAGGATCCCAGCCACGATTCAGGGTCCACAGCTCTCAGTCAACCTCCCCACACCAGCCAGAAAGCTGGGGAATGGCTGATTCCAACCGGCCACCATCTCGAGGTAGACGCAGGGACTCACCAAAGACCATTGTGGAGCCTGGATCAAGCTCCTCTTCTGTGCTGGATGCAGCCTCAAGCAGCGAAGACAGATCTCGTTTTACTCCTGGTCCTGCAGAGAGTGGAGTCAGCGATAGCCAACGGCAGCTCAGCAGCAGCCAATCAGGCCTCAAGTCCAGATCAGAAGCTGAGAGCTCTCGCAGCAACAACCCAGCTCCCCAGAGCACCTCTCATGAGTACAACTCAGATAGTCCTCTGCAACCTGCTGATAGTATGTCCCAAATGAGACAGTCTCTGATGGGTACAGGCCAATCAGTGGTGAATAGATCTCCAAAGAATGGACAACCAAGCATGCTTCCAAGCAGCAGTCAAGGTAGACAGCCTCAGAGGAAGGACACTGGCTTGTTCCGGTTTGATCTCCAGAAGTCCATCGACCGTATGATTGAATCTCAAGTGAGGATGGAGACACCATCCAGGATGGACCAGCAGGTCAGAATGGATGATTATGTGACGCGGCTTGTGGAGGCTGAGATGTCTAGCTCTCGGTCTTCTCCACAGCGCTGCGATAGCAGAGAGAGCACCAGCACGGCCGAGTCTGGTGCCCTGGAGGTGGATGAAAGCCGACTGTCTGATGTCTCAGACTTGGACAATCACGAGGCAGAATCAGTCCAGCAACCAAATGTCTCACAGCAGCGTCCTAGAGGTTCAAGCCCGAGACTGCCTTCCCGAGATAACAGGGAGGGGGAAGCAGCTCCAAGTTCAACACCTGTTGATGGTGCTGCAAGGCTGAGTGTGGGCTCTTCAAGTGGAATTGGTAGTAACAGGGCATCAGGTGTTATCTCTCCAAATATAGCCGCACAGCCTCAGCTCGATCCCTCTAACCAACCAAGCCAATCAGTACCCACTTCCTCACCATCCCCTGTCTCTCACCAGGTTTTCCCAACCTTGGGCACCGGGCAGACAGGGAACCAGTTTGCATATTCAGCCTTATCGTTCAGATCAGCGGCAGGAGTAGCCCCTGCTGCCTCCTCCTCTACAACAAGCTCCGCCCAGAACCATCTAGCCAACGTTCATCTCAGGATCCCCTCCCCCCACCTTGGACCCGCTAGGGGGCCATCACCAGTCCCTGGTCCAGGAATAGCTGGTGTTCGTGAGAGGGAACCAGCACCTTTGCTGTCCTCTCAGTACGAGACCCTATCAGATAGTGATTAACCTAGATAAGTAGGAGATTACAAATAGTGTTGTTTGTTAAGTTGTAGTCGTTATTATTGATTATTGGAATCAACGACTTGGTAATTAATATTGATCTCCAAAGCTTACGGAGAACCTAAGACTGAAGTATGTTTATTTTATGGTTTTTATTGTCAACTTTCTTACTGATATGCACATCTTTGTGATAAAAGATGGACTGACTTTTTTAAACCATGCAAAAGATACTCTCTACAGAAGTACATGTACCATTCGTGGTGAGATGTCTTTTTACAGACACATGGTTACAGGTTATTTGCAGAAAAAAAATCTTTATTTGATCAGATTTAATATGCCGCTAAACAAGTTTGCCCTGTTTTATTGCAGATTTACCATATTTGTAATAACCATCGCTGTACAAGAATGCGTTTCTTTGGGCTAAAAACAAAACGACTAAACAAAACCATGATTCAAATTAAGAATCTAGCTTTATTTTGATCTTGAAAATGAAAATATGATGCCAGTGTTTCGTGAAAAATTCTGTTAACCTTTGATTGTTACCCTTTCCTTGAGGAAAAAAAATGTCCAAGACATTTTGTTATTCATTTGTAATTTTGTTTTAGTTTTACTGTAGAAAAAAACTGTTAAAACAGTCAAACATGGTTTTTTTTAGACTTTTAGTTGTGTGTTAAAAGATTAGGAAAAAATTTGTCATTTTGATGAAAAGTGAATGTGGCTGCTTTTTAGTATTATGATAAGTTTGGTTGTTTTAAAAATAGCTTTTGATGGCAAGAATGCTCTGAAATGTCGGCTTGATATTCCAGAGCCATTGTATCACAAACCCTCCAGAATCCATCAAATTCTGACGCTTCTGTTTGATTGTTTTTGATGGTTTCAGGACGTTACAGCCAATTACTTTGCAAGAGCATCATTCAATGAATTTTGGGTCCAAAGTGTGATATTTTTTTGTTGTTCCTGTTACCTTGGTACTTTGTCATTTGCCATTCAAGTATCATGAATGACTTCAAACAATAAATTTATTTATTGGGTAGGTAGTTTGCTATTCATAACCACTCTTGGAGGATGACTGCATGAAGAAGTGCATCAGAATTATAAAATCACAGATGTTACATGTAACAGGGACAGGAAAAAAAGTGGACCCCAAATTTATAGAATAACCCAATAACATAACGTGGGCATTGATGACGAGAGTTGGATTTTTGGGGACTTCCTTGTCGAAAATCATCCCTGTTCTCGCAAAAATTGCCTGGGTTTAGGGTTAACTATTTGCTTTTGACGTTTAGCAAATTTCCCTCTGTAACTGGTTGGTTCTAAGTCCTCCCAAGTCAGTCGTAAGACGTCTCAAGTCACAAGCTCTTCATATGAAGAGGAGCAGACATAACATTTTCTGTTGCTTGCAATTTGCTGGTGATTTGAATTGTGATTGACTTTACAACTCTGGTTTTGAATTGGCCTAACATTAGCTGGTCACGTACACAAAAGAAAAGTTTAAAAAATCATGACAGCAAATTTTGTGTTCGCACCCCCTGCCAAAAAAAGACGTTTGGCTGTTGTGAGAGAAGTGCGTTATCTTATTACAGTGTCAATATGAGTGGAACTTTAGGCTGAAATCTGTAGGTTTAGAAAGCAAAAGTCGGTCCACTAACGAGAAGGGTCACTGAACGCAGTTTCTGATAGAAACGTGTTTGGTATGAAGGATGTACATAAAGTTGTACTGTTGTTTTGCAGCGCTCAAGTCTGCCTGTTCATATTAACTGGCGCTGCAATTTCTCTGAAACTTCAGTGTTAATGATAAGTGTGATGCATGACTGTATGAGTCTCATTGTTACACAGTCATAGATGCACTCCGTCACTCACAAAGCACTTGTGTTATGAGTAAGCCACTAAGAAGTCGAATATCAGCAAGTTTCAGGACCATTTTAGTCCACTAGTGATTTATTTGTGACTTAATCCTAACACCGCAAAAAAAGAAAGTCCATGCTCATGGGGGGGGGGGTCATAATTTTGAACCTGATCGTCTTTATAATGAAGTCATTTATGTAGACCTTTGGAAAATTTTGCTAGCTACATTTTGATACCCCATTGCGACCAAAGACTGTGAATCATCAAAGATTGATAATGGTTTATGAAAAATGATGCAGTTTGAAAAGTTGCAAAGTTAAAGATTACGCGAGGAGAAATTGCTAAGCGCAAACACACATGCCCATAATTGACCCCTATCGAATGCACACTGCCCGAACAAAGCGCGGGTAATTCAATTTCGCGTGCTCCCATGCATACAAGCACTGTGCGATCGATATTTTCTGCCGTTCATTTTGGGCAGTGTTACATTGTCACGCAGCAATTTTCACTTGCGCACTCTTTAAATTTGCAACTTTTCAAACTGTGTCATTTTTCATAATCTGTTGTCAATGTTGGACGATTTACCTTCTTTGGTAGCAAAGGGGATATCAAAATGTAGCTAACTTTCCCCAAAGGTCTATATAGATGACGTTAACACAAAACGATCAGATTCCAAAATTATGACTCCTCCAATGAGTATCGACTTTCTTTTTTGCGGTGTTTACATATGTAGGAAAGAGTTCCATACCTGGACATCACTTGACACCCTGTGCACAAACCCTATGAGACTGGTCTGAACAATTCCAAGTGTTTTCTTAATACTTCAGTATTCGCCCTGCTAAATTTGACTTTTTAGGACACGTTATCGCTTTCTGATGGCTGATAGGTTACTGCAGGGAAACATTAGTGATGTCCATGTATGGAATTCTTTCCCATCTGCACACACATACATGTACCAACGTGAAAATGCTTTTAGTCAAACACTGGTTGAAAAGTCATCACAAAAACTTCTCCGTCCTGCTTCCTGAAATTGGACCATTGTTTTGCAGTGCAAGCAGCACTACTGGTCGGTCCTACTAAAATGTGTCAACAAGCGTCAACGGTCGTCAACCCGTTATTAGGTTATTCTATACGTGAAGCTAGCCATACAACGCATGCATGAAGTGTACGGTGCCAATCCAAACAAGATGGCGGCCAACACTAACTCGACAAACTCGTCGTACGTTTCGCGTTGAAAAAACAACTTGTGAAATAATGTTAACTTTAATTTATATGCTGAAGGTGTTCTTTGTTGCTATTTCTACCATATAAAGCTGTTTTGATGTTCCAAAACTTATACCAAATTTGTTGACAATGGGTTGACGACCGTTGACGCTTGTGGACGCCAATTGACAAATGGTTGACGTTTAGGACACATTTCAGTAGGACCCTACTTGTTAATTTTCACTGTATAATTTATCAAAACAGAGAACGGAAGGGTGTTTTTTTTTTTTTTTATATACATGGTTTATGTTGAGCAGTGAGCTTTTTATTAGTGAATACGCACTCAACTCGTTGCTTCTATGGTTTTTATACTTTCAAAGAAAGTTTCGAGTGCTGTCTCGCCTAAATATTACTGCAAGTTACTAACAGCGTAAAGTTTCTAATGTTTTCTTAAAAGGTACAAATTTGTGTGATTGTAAGATACCTATACAAAAAAAAACAAGTATTGATGTTAAACTACAAAAAGTTTGTGATATTTTTGTCAACCAAAGTTTTACCACCTCTGAAGTGTTTTGTTTTCTTGTAATTTGGAACTTGTCACTTTGTTTTTGTTGAGATTTTTTTGGGCGGGAAAATTGAGGTGGAAAAACTAATGTACAGATTTTCTGTTGGTGAAGATATTCATTAAAAACGATGACTGTTGACTGAATATTGCTGGATCAGTGTTATTATTCTTGCACATCAATCACATTTTTGCTTAAAATTGAATTACTGTAGTAATTTCTGTGCTTTGGTTGTACAATATGCTTATGATTTTGTTATTTTGACTTAGTCAGAATAATAAAATCTACATGTAAACTTGACCCCCCCCCCAACAAAAAAATAATTGAAAATGTTTATAGCCACACCAAAACTGTCGTACAAGACCAAATGCACTAGTGACTGAGTAATGCCAGTCCACATGTGATTTACAACAGACCTCTGTCCAAAATATAAGATAAGAAACGAAATTTTTCAGAGTTTTATAATTGAACTGTTTTAATAATTCAACAATTAACTCATAAGCAATTCACAAATTTAAGGAACGCTTTTACTTTCCCTAGATTCAGTTTTTTTAATAGTTTGAGAGGGCGCTGTAACCAGTCAAAAAATGTTAGGTATAGTGCCCGATCAGGCACTATACTCGCGCGATGTCTTGACGCATGTCTAGTTCACGATGACGCAAATTTCATGCACTAGCCTATATTAGTGAACCCCACGCAGGGGCGTAAATCCCAGGGGGGGGGGTAGTGGGTATATTCCCCCCCCCCCTCCCCTTTTTGACTAGGGGGATGAGCTATTGAATCATTCCCCCCCCCCCCCCCCCCCCCCACTTTTTCGTGGTGAGAAAAAAAATTGAAGATTTCGAGGTATTTTTCAAAGGGGGTCAGACAAGTCGACCGTTAGACAACTCGACTCGAGACAAGTCGACCGTTGAGACAACTCGACCGCTGAGACAAGTCGACCGTATGTGCGATAAATGGAAAGACAAGTCGACCGCTGAGACAAGTCGACCGCCGAGACAAGTCGACCGCCGAGACAAGTCGACCGCTGAAACAAGTCGACTCGCATGTTTTTGAGGTAGTACCGGGGATTTTGACGGGGGGATTTTGACGATCGCCGTTTGGCTGATCGCCGTTTGGGAGTTATGATACATGAGGGTTTTTTTGGTCGGGCCGGGTTGATATACGGTTGGGGTTGCCGCTGGGCGAGATGATAGGTTTAGCTGCATTAGTTTAGGAAAATGATGGCCCTATTCTATTCAAACTTGCCTTTTGTTGCATAAACAAATATAGCCCAGTGGGATTGTCCGTGCACATCGTTCTTTTTTTTCCGGGCCTGTGTGCGCACTTATCCCGCGCCCGGTCAACGTGGCCGTACCGTGCACGGTACCGGTACGCGGCATCTTTCTTGCCGGGCCTGCGCGCCCACTTGCCGGTCAACTTGTCCGTACCGTGCACGGTGACATCGTTTTTGCCGGGCCTGTGCGCGCACTTGTCGCCGGTCAACGTAGCCGTAACGTGCACAGTGGGTGACATCGTTTTTGCCGGGCATGTGCGCCCACTTGCCGCCGCCGCCGCGCCGGTCGACGTGGCCGTGCCGTGCACGGTGTGACGTCGGTTTGATGCGCTGGTACGGTGCGCGCATACAGTTCGGGATTCGGTACCGCATTAGACCGACCATTGCGTTATTATTATTTCATTATTTGTATACACAAAATATATTTTGACCCAAACTTTGCATTAACACTTAATTATTTTTCTATTTACAGATGATCCAGTGGCTCGCCAATGAACCATTTGTGTTGCTTGAGACGATTCATGAGGTGATCCATATAAAGTGCCGTCCGCGATGAATCGATGTCACTTCAGGATTGACAAGTTCACATGCATGACGAAATTAAAAACCCTTAGCTATCAGGTCATAAAGTTATAATCTAAACGCCTTCAAGAACACAGAGATATGAAGACATGTGTTTTAGATCCATCAAGCACTCAGTTAGCAGTCTTAAATAGTTTTCTAAAAACAAATCCCTGTACATCATAACTCATATTTTGTTTATTTGGATAAGAATTTAATAAGAATTCAAAATTTAATAATCGAGATGTTTAGAGATTTGTACACATATGTTTTAGACCAGCACTCGGCAGTCTCAAACAGTTTTCTAAAATCAAATCCTTACCTCGTATACAGTTTATTTGGATAAGAAGTTTATAAAAATGAATTTTGAGTCCTGGCGTTTCCTCAAAAATAGAAAAAAATATTTAGGTAGACATTGTGACACACAAACTAACTTCTTTTATAATGGAAATTAATCAAAAATATATGTTTGTTATGCACAGGTTTTTCAAATGAAACGCAGTGCAAATGTGATAATTGTCTCTCCTCAAGTATAATACAGAAGCGTGTACATGTACGTGCATTGATATCACAGCTGGTCGTTATTAATTGATCAGCATTTTTTGGCTTTCTGAAACGTTAGGTTCATCATTCTATTATGTCGCCCTGTCACCGAAGTATTCGGTACAGTACAATGTAATAGCTCCGTGGCTGACGACCAGTTGACAGGTGTCAACTACTGCCTGCACGCTGATTGGTCTTCGTTGATACAAAGCGGCGTATTACGGTTGCCGACTTCTGAACCTTGCGCTCTCGTCTGTGGAGAACACCGGACCGCCGGCCCATTGGAAGGGGATTTGAATAGTCCGGGCGCGTTGAGCCAGTGTCGTGATCATAATTAAAACTTCTCTTTGGAAATAAAGAGACTGGCCAAAAACTGCATGGACTAAAATGCCACTAGACATGTATCCGCATCTCTTTGTGAGTGTACATGGTTGATAAAAATCAGTCCAATTGCGCAATTGGCCAATTAGTCTGGTGAGGGTTTGGAAACATCCAGGAACTCTTTAAATTATTCCACAATGTATCATTTTAAAGAGAGCAAATTATTACTGTTTTTCTAAAACCTGGTAAAAAGGGCAAAAATGTAATACATGATTCGACTGGTAAGCTATACTCTATATTCTGTCTCTTTTGACTCATTATTGGTAACTGCTGACTGTACGCAAAAGACGTACATGACTTTGTATACGGCCTGATTGGTAAAAAAATAAACCTGTCGGTTTTTATCACCATAGGTGTTTATGTCACCATCAGCCCAGGGATAATCACCAATGTCCATTAATGAATTTTTCTGAGGAACACGATTTGTGCAACTTCCCTCTATCCTTAAAGAGAATGTACATTACAACATTTGCTTTTGCTGCAATTTTCAGAAATAAATGGATTTGGAGGATTGGTATGAATTATAGCAAATTTTGTTAAACTTACTTGTTTCACGTTTTGGGCTTGTATATGCTTGAAAAACCAATAAACCAATCATGTTCTTGTAGTCCGGCTCCCTGAACGGAGAAATGTAAAGACTTTGGGGAATTGTAAGGTCAAAGAATCAATCTAGCAGGCTTGTACCCCTTCACAAGTGTGCAATAAATTGCAAAGCAAGTGCGGAATAAACAAGTGAAAAAGTATGAAAACTACATGTATCTGACACCCCTTTGTAGTTAATTTTATTCAAAGTGAACTTCTTTAAACATTTGAATTCCATGCTTTTCCTTGTGGAAACCAACTTTTGCTGTTTGGCTTAGGCCAAAAAAAAAAGTCTCCGGTTTCTGGTATGCGCGCGCGTCGCCATAGCCATGCGCGTCGGCAAAATGAAAAAGTTTTTTTTTTCAATGAAAGATGATGTCTCAAAACCGTCAAACTCACTGGTTTGACTGGAATCCTGCTGCTGCACAATTTTAACGTGTTTTTAGATGGGGTTATGGTCGAGAATAAGCTTTATGTGGCCTCTCTGGACTCCCATATATTTGCACTAAGTTTAGTCGGGCACCATTTGCAGTCATCAGCCGACATTTGAAGCAAAAAAATCAGGTAAAAAAAAAAAAGCCGCGTCGCCGCACCACTTTTTGGGCAAGCTCCATACCAGAAACCGGAGACTTTTTTTTTTGGCCTTAGACCTAGGTACCCAATAAAGGAAAATAATAAGGGACACTCGCAGCTTCCCCTAGCAAGCATTTGCAATTGTGCCTAACGTACGTGCATAACAGAGGTTCAAACAACGTCCCAAATCACAATGACAGCGGCGACGCTTGCGAGCCGTGTGATGTTTTGCGGTTGATTGGCAGTGCAGGTGTCCAAGATGTCAATCAAACGACGAGCTCACTGACAGTCGGCAAAATTGAACATCACAGGTACGAAATTCCCCTATAAAACCAAGGCATTCCATTAGTCGTCGTCATTCGTTCGAAGACACCACTTATATCGTTACAATGCCTGTTCGCACCCGAAAGTTGAAGCCGACTTCCAAGTCCTCGGCGCAGTACCCCTGTATTAGATGTGGGGAGGAAGTCTCCTCCAAGCAGCACGCTTTTCAGTGCGACGGTTGCCACCATTGGCAACACCGGCGTTGTTGCCCAGGTTAGTTTCCCCCTGTATAAAAACATTTTGTTACCGCATAATTTTATATTGAAAATCCAGAGTGCTCCAGGTTATTTTTCTCTCGCATGTTCATGATTGAGTCAAAGACAAATTTCAATTGAACAAGTTGTGAGGACTGACAGGATAGATAACTAAACTAGCTGCCTCTTTGTGATTTATTTTTTTTTCCGCCATAACATTTCAACTTTTGGAGTTGTAGATTGGAACGATTTCCGTTTTCGATGTTCATCTAATGTCGCAGTGGTGTTTTCCACCCCCCCCCCCACCAAAAAGAAAAAAGAAAAAAAAGAACTCGGATATAACAAAGTTTCTATGTATCTGAAAGCTTAGGCTTATATTCTATGTCATGTACTTGAGCCTTGGCTAGGTATTAATCTATTCCTACAGTTTTGTACCTATATGCATGCTCCACGATATAAGTTAATTTTTGAAAAATGTGAGGAAGCAATAATTTTTTAATGATGTAATAATGGTCATTTTAATCACTTTCCCCGCAATATTTAAGATGGTTATATTTGTCTGCCAACAGGGGCCATTGTGTGGGGCAGGTTACATCGCCAAAAAGCAATGCATGTACATTTTGCAACCTCTCCCCTTGCTTTTCACATTAAATTTGGGGTGGAAATTGTTTTTTTGAGGGGGGATGAACTTTTCTGCATGCAATTTGTACACAAAAAGTACTTTGACCCTTGAAAAAGTGTTCTATTGTTGTTGTTTTCACATTATTTTCACATTACCAATAACCTTGTTAATTACTTGATTCAGTGGGGTATACATTCATTCCCTGTTACTGGCCGAAATGAAGAATACAAGTATTAGATAAGATAAAAAGGCCATTCAAGGTGCCAAATATATAACATAACAAGGCACATTATGATTTTTTTCTCTCTTGGCAGGTATCACCTTGGCATTTACAGAGACGCAATGAGAAGCGGAGACCAATTCGCTTGGAAGTGCACCCTGTGTGTTGCAGCTATGCCAGTGCTAAGGGATCCAACTGCCAATGGAGAACCGGTAAGTTTGCATATTCACTTTGCTTTTAGCGTCGAAGAATTCAATTTCTTGAACTTTTTGAATCCGGACCACTTTCTTGATCACATACCGTACAAATGGATTTGAATTTTTTTAAAAGGAGGAGAGCATATTCAAATTCTACTAAATTCAAGCACCAAACATAACTAGTTTGGTACAAGTTCACACAAGGTTTTGTGATCATACCGTAAACCGTTCGGAAAAAATTGTGCTTTGTTTTGATTTCAGGCTAATATCTTCATTTTGAATTCACCTAACTTTGACCTTCCGGTACACCCGGAAGTAAAGGTCAAGCCAGTTTACGTACCAAAAATGTTTTAATAGTTAATGGTCTATCTCATTACAGAATACCATCATCATTGATTATTGAGTTCAAGAGTTATAGGTGAAAGTAATTGATCACTTTTTCAGATAAAATCCCTCGTAATTTGACACCTGATGATGTAATCATGACGTCAGAGTAATATGCACCACTTTGGCTGAGGGCCGATATATATTAAAAGTTACAAGTTCATTCCATTATACCGTTTTGGAGAAAACCCACGGAGAAGTATTGTCCAGAAAAAAAAGGAAAGAAAGAAGATTTAATTGAGAACAAATCCAGACAGTGGTCGGGTTGTGCCCGACCACTCAATAAGTCCCCAGGCTAAACAATTTGCCCCGGTCTTGGCAAACTGCAAAACAACTTTTTGTAGGTTTCAATATCCCGATGTCAATTTGAACATGCTTTCTTCCTATGTTAAATTCAAATCCATTTGTACATGGTATATGTGATAAAGAAAGTGGCCCGGATGAGAGATACTTTTCTTAAAAAGCAAATTTGATACACCAATAAAGCATATCTTTAAAGAGCTTAACATTAGAGAGCATGTCAAACTTTCCTTTGTTTTCTGGGAGTAAGTTCCACTTTTTGAGTGGTCGGGCACAACCCAACCACTCTCTGTTTTTGTTCTGATAAATCTTTCTTTTTTTTCCCAGACAATACTTCTCCGCGGCTTTTCTCCTAAACGGTTCATGATATGAACTTGTAAGTTTCAATATATATCGACCCTCATCCCTAGTGGTGCATATTACTCTGATGTCATGATGATGTCATCGGGTATCAAATTACAAGTGATTTCAGCTGAAAAAGTGATCAATTACTTTAACCTAAAACTCTTGAACAAAATAATCAATGATGTTTGTATTTCGTTATTTTTTGTTGTGTACGTGAACTCGTTTGACCTTTACTTCCAGGTCTACCGGAAGTTCAATTTTGGGTGAATTTACTTATGATAGTGTTTAGTGAGGACTGCCAGACAAAAAAAAAGTGGGATGACGCCCCCCCCCCCCCCCCCCGGCCCTTTTAGGGTTAAACAGCTTGCTTAGACAATAGTGGCCTATATTTCTTAAAAACTTTTTTTTTGTGGGTAATTTTGAAGGACTGATTTGTGTACTGTTCATAATTATGCACTTTTGCCAAGGAGTACCTTTGTGACAAAAGCAAAATAGCCCCCCCTCTTACATGTATTGATGAGAGGATTTGCTACATTTTCTTGTCACTTTCGATGAACACAAGTATTAACTTCTTGTATGTATTTTTGCAACACGTAATAACGTGCATAAAAACAAGATAGGCTGAATTTCTACTGCATGTTTCCTTTAAAAAGTGCCTTTTGCTCGACATTTTCACTGCCACGGTATACCAACAGAAGTGACATTTCAGTGGCTTGTTGAGATGCACTGGTATACTGCAGCTATATTTCTCCATTATATACACATGTTTTAATCACAATATTTCTTTTTAATAAAGGTTTCACCAAGAGACCCAAGTGTGACCGGCCAGACTTAAATTCCTGTAATTATGCTGCCAGGTCCCGTCTGTAAAATATTTCTTTGTCGATGTCTGATATTTTTAGCATAAACAGCGATGCGAAAGTTGTCGGAGCATGCGAGCGCCCTCTTGTGTTTTCCGTTGAATAGAGCATACATAGTTGCGTAACAATTTGCATATGACATGCAGTGCGAAAAAGCCTTTTATTCCGTGCAGTGTCTCAAAAGCATAGGGCTTCGGACGCACATTCCGTGAATTTTTCACTAGTTTTTTGGCAAGTAAGCAAGCATGGGTAGGTCACTTGACTGCTTGTCGTTGCTGCTGCCAGCCACACCTTATTGCGAGCCAGCCAGAGAAATAAGAGAATGTTCTAGCCTGAAATGAAACACATGAGACATAAAGAAGGATGTACGAATACAGAATATTGAATACTCTTTTTATGAGCATTGCTGTTTAAAACAAACAAATGTTAAGAAATAGATGTACTGTATAAAATGCATTATAAATTCATCAATATAGAATAACTACGGATGGGTACACATGTACTGTGGAGATGAAACATTTTGATGGCACTGATGGTTATTTAATATTCCTTCATCGAAAACATTTATTAATATTTATGAGATTACTTAATATGTACAGTAATTTTATTACAGCTACTGCTTGTAGTTCTGTGGTTCCTGATGGTCACAAATAGAGAAGCCTTCTCGAGTAGACCAGTGTATCCCTTATCCAGCATCCATAATATTTGGGTACGTGTATAAAACATTATTGCTTGAAATGTGCCTAAGAAATTGGAGATTTAGAGATTTGGAGATTAATGTGTTGTAAAATTATTGCATAGCAAGTGCTTATGGAGATTATTTCTCCTTGATTAAATTTGTATGCCTTTAATATTTTTATGCCTCTCGTAAGAAATGTACTTGTAAATTCGCAGCAAAAACATTTCTATGGAACAAATCAATGGAAATTGAGGTTTATAGAACCAGTAAAGCAATTTCTCAAGATAAGATATAACCAAGGATAAGGAGAGATGGTTATTTCAAATAATTAAATAATTGAATATTGGATTCATAGTCATTGTATATTTGTAAAAAAATTAATTTCTATTCTTCTGTTTTCTGTTATTACAGACTGCTGAAGAATGACTGTCGTTTTTTTGTAGTTTTTTGTTTTTTGTAGTAATAAAATTTTGATCAATTTATAGTGGAATATATACCCAGTGTCACTTTCAAATTTTCTGCGTAACCTTTCCAGCTCGGTTACAAAAATGGCGTAGTCGGCAGGATGTCATAAAAGGCATCTTAATTTGTGACACTTTGATCAAATATAAACGACAGTCATTATTATCATCATCATCATCATCATCATCATTATCTTCAATGACAACCTTCTGGAGAGAAGCATCTTTGATCTGAAGGGTGGTTTGCTGCAGCAGTGCGTTTTACATCATCTAGTCATCTGAAGGATAGTGTAATATATGGCCAAATTGGGAGTTTTAGATTTAAGGTCCATTGAGGTCATCTCATTTCACTAGTCATATACTAATGGTAGACAATCTTTTATCGTGCTCTTGACCATGTGTACATATTATCATTGTCTAACTTCATTCTGAACAACTGGTGAAGGATTTTTTTAAGTAAACATTTCCTGTCCACTGTCTCACTCAGTCTAGAGCTGCCAAGATAATTTTTTGTCTTTTGAGAATATTTTCACCTCTTCAATCATTATACTTCCCCTATTACACAATTTTAATCCCGGATGATTGTGACCGGCCAGACTTAAATTCCTGTAATTATGTTGCCAGGTCCCGTCTGTAAAATATTTCTTTGTCGATGTCTGATACATCACAAAAAAGTTTAGTGTTCTTTCAGCAAAACGAAAACAGATCACATAAGGATGTGTGTGAATTGTTTTCATTTTGCTGAAAGAACACACACCTTAAGTACATGAGTGATTTGAATGATTTTTGTCCTAAAATAAAGCTTATAAATTGGGCTTTCATACCGGTATATCCTAGGTTTTGAAAGTGCTACATGCAGAACTTCACTTAAACAATCCCACAATCCATTCAATCTCAAAATAATCCCGGCACGAACTGGTCACCCCAAACTCTCTAGGGTGTGGGGAAAATCTTTTCAAAATTTCAGGATTCAGGATTATTAGGGTTATGACACTATATGAATATCAGTGTCTTATCATAATAAAATATTATCCACTTTTGTTTTAGATGTCCAATGCCATTCTGCAAGACTCCCCGGAGGCGAGTGAGACGTCTCAAGAGTTTGCCAGCCAAGTGGGCGGAGCTACCCCATGACCAGAAGAAAGGCATCTCTGAGGAGCTAGGTAGGATATTGGTGACTCTTTCGTTTAAATAGTTTGTGAGTGTTCAAATATTTCCATCTGCCAGTTAAAGGGTGGAATTTAGGCCAGACTTTGTTAAAAAAGTCAGTTAGGATTATTGACCTTACTTGAAATGTCTGGGTCACAGGAAATATACCTAATGTAAACACTGCAATAAAAGGAAGTCCACTTTCATTGGAGGGGTCATAATTTTTGAAATCTGATCTTCTTATGATAACGTCATTTAGGTAGACCGTGGGGGAATGTTGTTAGCTACATTTTGAGACCCATTTTTTGGTTACGCGTGTGGAAATTTGTGACATGACAATATCGCACTACCGAAACAAATCCCAGGGAATATGGATCGCATAGTGCTTGTATGCATGGGAGCCCGCGGGCTATTCGAATGACCCAGGGGCCAATTACGGGCATGTGTGGTTACGCTTAGCAATTTCTCCTCACATTAATCTTTTAAATTTGCAACTTTTCCAACTTCAAAACATGATTCAGCAACTTTTGATTTGAAATCGAGATCCTAGAATGTTGTTTTTCTCGGAATATACAGCTGAAGCTGAGCTGAAACTTCATCAGGTTTCAGTACCCTTCTTTAGATTTTCAGCACTTTTGCTGCTTCAAGCGAACAAAATGCATAAATTACAAATGATGGACTATACCTTTAAAGTAGATATTTACAATGGAAGGGTTACATGTACATGGACACATGTAATTACCTTTGCTGGTTTTCTCACCAAAAGGTAATCACAGTATGCACTGTGTATGTAAACAGTATAATACTTGCTCATTGATAAGGACAAACCAGTCCTCATTTCTGTTATCAAATTCTGTTGTCTAATTGTCATGAAGAGTTCTTTTTAACCCTAACTCCCTAGCATGATTTACTAGGAACAATACCCATCCTGGCAAATTCCAGCACCGTGTTGGAAACTGCACACACATATTTCTGACTTTGTTTCTGGAGGTGTGCCAACCCAATGTAAAAGTCTGTCAGTTTAGGGGAACTGTACCCATCCTGACAGATTCCAACAAAACATGGTGTTGGGGTTTGATGGGTTGAGTTCTGTGAGGGTTAATCTTCATCCCATCAACTACGAGTACAGATATGCAATCACTAAATTATTATTTCTCACCGTTCCTTTCCATAGCAAATTTCTTGTTTTGGTTTCTTCACATCAAATTTACTTGGCACTCCTATTTGCGTGATCTACATGTACATGTATAAACAGGTTTTAAGACTGTCATGTTCCAGCTTTAACACTGTTCGTGTCCATCAGTCAGTTTCCACTCAGTTCCCCTTGCATGGATGGCTTGCACTCATCAGTTACCAGAGAACATTGTTCTTGACACCTTTCAAACAATTGACTCTTGATGTGCATACTGCTGCCCTTGTGCTGATGGCTCGGTGCCAGTCAGCCCAGGACATTGTTCCTGAGTACTTGCAAGTGACTGCTGGCTCTCTGCTGGTTCTGGATGTACACACTGTTCCCCTTGCATGGATGGCTTGCAGTCAGTCAGACTAGAGCATTGTTCCCGATGAGAACTTGCAAGCGCTGGGGACCCTGCTGGTTCTGCATGTACCTCAACATGCACTTGAACATGCTGCTGACTGTACATGGATGCCTTGCTGCTGCTTTGCCTGGAACATTGTTCTTGACAGCTGTCCAGTGACTGTTGACTCTCTGTGTGTTGTACATGCCCTTGGCTTGGTGGCTTGCTGCTGCTTGGCCTGGCAGCATGGTGCTCTTGGTCATTGTCTGCCTTTGGAATCACGCGAAGCTCAATCTGCTTCCCTGGCTGGGATGGTCGGCTGGGATTCCATCTTGGGCAGCAGTGACAGCACAGTTTCAGGAATGAGAAAGCCTCAACTACAGCTGTACGATAGTCAGCATTTGTGGCACTGTAGACTAGGGAATTGATTGAGCAATTTATGAGTTGCAAGATTTGGATACATAGATTCACAATATGACTTTTTTTTCCAAGTTCTACATACACAACAGCCTGGGCAGGCCAAGAATAATGAACTACCTTGATTGCAATACTTGCATTTGCAATGGCCAGTGAGTTCAGAATGAAGAAAACAGCAGTATTGGTTACAATCATACAGAGGACCTTGCCTGCTCGCTTGGGACGGTTTGGCAACAGGGCTGATTGCTTGTGCACTTTCACCACTACATAGATGTACAAAACAAGAGTAACTATAAAACAGACAATGCTGGTAAGGAAATGAATCCAAAAGCAGATGTCAATGAAGACAGTGTCTGGTATGAATACCAGAATCACACCAACAATAATTGTTGGCACCCAGATTCCTGCTGATATCTTTGCTGCTCGAGATTTAGAGGCTTTTTCTTTAAATGTCAGAGGATTGCGCACTGCAGAGAATCTCTCAGCTGCTATGGTAACCACAAAGAAATTAGAAGCTGCCAGGAACATGTATCGCATTATTAGAGTGGCTTTCCAGGCTTGTAAAGAGTTGTAATCTGAATGTGAATACAGTGCCCATATAAAGTCAGTCATAAGGTAGAGGGAGTCAGCCACAGCCAGATTGGATAAGTAGATGTTGATGATTGTACGCATGGACTTCACTCGAATGACTGTGAAGAGAAAGACAAAGTTCAAGAAAAGGCCGATTGGTGCAATGATATCAGTGCTGAGGGACTGTATTTGTTGATTTTTATCTAAACTCTCGACAAAGTCCCTCCGGAGCCTCCCAATCGATGAAGAGGAGCCATTTTGGTAGCCATCACCCATAGTTCATGTACATTGTAGCATTGATTTCCATGTCTAACATTGTGCTCAGGTGCAACAAAGAGTGGTCTGCCCTATCACAAGATCACTCCAGTTTTATACTAACAGGGAATATAAGACCTTGAGAAATCCGGAGTTGAAACTAAAAGCTTCTTCACGTTTCCTTCTAATATTTCCTTTCCTTGTTTCTATGAGATCAAGTAAAAAATGAACATGTTTCTTGTCCCTGTCTGCTTCCTTTTCCCCGCCCACCTCCTTTCTTCATTTTGGATCACATGTACAATATATTTTGTCTTGTTTTACAGGATGAGTAAAAAAACGTGGAAACCAAACCTATTTCGTCTAAAAAAAAAAAAAAAAAATATTGTGTATTCTGACTGTTTGGAACAACAAAGAAAATGATACAGTATACTTTAAATCTCAACAACTGTATTACACAATATCTTTATTAACAACCCTGGTTAGGCAAACAATATGATTTATGAAATCCCTTTTTTTTTAAGACGGGCCTTCAAAATGACTTTGTTGATTGTTTTCAACTTTTAAACTGAGGTTTTATCGCTGGTGATGTTTCAAGATAATTGTGACGAGGATTCTTGAAATCGCATTTTCGGACAAAACAGGTTTTGGGGTCATTGTGTTTTAATGGTGATATTCTTTGAACGGATTCAGCAATTTCAGTAATGTTTTCATCTAAAAGTAGCCTATGAAATTAGCTTTCCAGTCATTATTAGTTTTGGTGCTACATATTTTTTAAATATCAAATATAATTTTGGGGGTTTGGGTTCCGCATTTTTTAGCTCACCCTGTATGTGTCCAGCAAAATTGTAGCTATGTATTTGCAAGTTTGAAAGCTTGTAGAAAGGGTGACAGCTCCTTTGGACACAGAAGTATGAGCAAAACAGTTGAGAAAATGGAGGAATCCATCCGCCATTTTGAAAAATCCGCCGTCTTGAGTAAAAGAAAGGGCCGCCTCTTTTTTTCTCTCAAAAATTCAGGACGAGAAACTTGTTCATTTGGCCTGAGCTACTAAAATGTAACTTTTGTTTCTGTTG